CCAGCCGTGGTTCTGCAGGGCCGCCTGGCACTCCTCGGTGGTCACGCCATGCACCGTGTCCTGCACCTGGGGGGGGCTCATAGTCAGCACCCGCCACCACCCCCGAGCAGCAAGGAGCCCGTGGCTGGAGCAGGGGGACACTGGGGCTGCCCCCCACCCCAGCTCTGCCCCCCGGGGAGCACCGTCAGCCCGGAGTTGAGACCATCTCCAGGATCTCCAACCCCTCCTGGGCTTGGGCACAGACACCATGAACCCAGCCCAGAAAGCCCAAGGGGACCGCAGTGACAGCCACCTTCCTCCCCCTCCCTAGGGTCGTGGGTAGGGCTAATTTGAGTTAAAAGGGCTTGTGATCCCCATTTTGGAGCTGCAATGACACTTCTGCCCCACAGCATGTCTGGGGACACCTCACAGCCACCCCTTGAGGGCTGAACATGGGGAAACCGAGGCACGGGGTGGGGATGGCTCTTGCCCAAGCGAGCCCATGGCCACTGCATCCCTTCATGCCCAGAGATGCCAGGGATGCCACTTACCAGTCGGATCTTGTCAGCGGGGCGGTAGCCATCCGTGCCATCGTAGACGATCTTCTGGAGGCTGCAGGAGGCTTTCACCAGGCACTTGAGCCAAGGGTTGCTGTTGTTGGAGGAGAAGTTGGCCTTGCAGTCTGGCGGTGGCTGCTGCACCATGGGACGGACTGTGGCTGTGGTGACCAGGCGGGACGTCGGCACCTCCTCGGGGCTTTTGGCCTCCTTAAAAAACTTCTCATACTTGTCCAGGTAGGCAGGGCGCTCGGGCAGCAGGTAGTAGTGGGTGCTGCTAACCTTCTGCCCATCCTTCACGATGGGCAGGATGCAGGGTCCCTTGGAGCAGTCCTTGCCCTGTGCCTGGATGACCTTGGGGGTGGCGTACTTGGGGTCGAGGGCAAAGCTCTGCGTGGTGGGCATGGGCTTCCCCGGCGAGGTGGAGAGGCAGGAGCAGAGGGCGGCGCGTTGCTGGGGGGGGGCCACCC